GAATAAAAACGTGCGGTGAAATATCGCAGTGCGGACAGGCCGTAATACCTAATATATAGATAGTCTGGCACCTACGTACGTGCCCGAACGAAGTGAAGGTAAGTTGCTGATAACCGATAGGTACTCGTAGGTATATCCCACGAAATAAGGAACCACATTCATTTCATTCATCACATTTTTTGTAGTTTCTCTTAAGTATGCCCTTTATTGAATTATTACATGATAAGCATTTTAAAGTCATTTTAAAATGTGAATAACAAAGTAACTTATTTTTAACTGGGATTACGTTTTTAAGTTTGTATAGATTTCTCAGATGAGACAGACAGACAGACAGACAGACAGACAAAAATTCTAAAAACTATAGATTCGGCCTCTGTATCGATAATAATGTCTTTTTCAAAAAGAATCTCTAAGAAACATTTAATGTACAGATTCGGTTTAGTTAGAATTTTATTATATGTAAAGATAATGCGTTTAAAAGAGATAAATTACTCTGTAGAGTAAGTAAGTACTGATAAGTCCATAATAAGCCTAAATATGCCGTAACATCTGCCTGTAGTAATATAACGAAACGAGTAAAATATGTACATATTAGAGTTAATGTATGTAATCACATAGTTTGATATAAATAATGTAAATAAAAAGGTGTTAAAGCTAGGAAGTTTTAATATGTAACATTTAAATGTCGACCTCTAATCTCTATCTGTTTGTTAACTTTATACGGCTAAACTTCAGAACCGATTGCGATGATTTGGCCTCAGAGGTAGCCTATATGTAGATTGTAGAGGTTACTTTTAATTACAGTAATAACATGTTAACATGAAATTTTAGTTGAACATAAGATGGTAAAATAATGTGAATATTCTTTAATATATAATTACTTATTTGTATAATATTATTTAATATATATCAACAAAATTTGAGATTAGTACCAAAAATTTCGTGTGGTATATTAACAGTTGAAAGTTTGTACTTACATATACTATATGGAGAATGACTTATAGAAGTTACTGCTGCGTTTTTAATCTTATTATATTTCTCGTGTATTAGGTATTTGTTTACTTCATGTTGCACATTTATGTTATTTCTTGACACGTATAAACATAAGCTTCCGCAGCATCTTTAAATAAATTTCAAGCAGAAGCGTGTGTTTGCGCAAGTGATATCGAGGAGTTAACCCCGATTTTTGTTAAATTATCGATTTCGATAGATCGGAAGTGACCGGGCTTCTGGCCGAGAATAAATCTGTTTGCTTTGTATTTAGAAATACTGTTAATGTAAGCAGACCTTAAGCAATACATACTGAATTGAAAGAAATATTCCAAATATAAAATTTAAATTGCTTACAGTGCCTAATCTGGCAGGTTTAAAGTATATAAACATAACTTTGCTTATTTCAGTAAAGTATGAATGACTTTAATCTTCTTGGTCTTAAATTCATGGAATTTCGTACTAACTTTGAAGCTTATAGTTACTTTGAAGGGCTGTTTTTTTGAATCCGTAACAGGTAGCGGATAAATTGTTTAATAACATTTATGTAGGATAGTCTAACAAATAATAAAAGAAAATATATATATATAATATATATATATATGGCTTATATGTATAAGGAGATCTATGGATTATACATTTAATCTTTTTGTTTTTGGTTTATTATAAAATGATAGGCACGTTAAATATTATGGTGTGATTATAATGCTTACATTATGTGATTATACATGCTTTAATTATTACCTATGTACTTATAAAGCAACATTACCTATAAAGTATTATACTACATATACAGTACATACTATATATAGTACATACCAATATATGATTATTGTTGTTAAATAATACTTACTCATAAGTAAAACTAATACGCAAATACAATTAGCGCTCATTTTTTATGTCAGCCGATTTTTTATATCATAAATTCTTACATATCGAGTCCACCTATGTGTAATGACCATTAATCTAAGATATATATGTATATAAATCTAATATATAAAATTTCCATGTCACAATAATAGTTACCGTACTCCTCCGAAACGGCTTTACCGATTTTTATTTATATATATATATATATATATGCTAACTTCATGGTTAAAAATAAGGTATATTTTTAGCCATGAAGTAGTAGTCTTAGTCTTAGACAACTAGGTATGTTGCATTACAAATAAGAAGACAACTAAAAGCTCTCTTTGTAAAGCATGAGAAATAAATAATATACCTAAGTAGGTAAAAGTACTTAGTATTTACTATATCACTTTCACTTCATTTTCATATTACATAGTAAATTTACAAAAATGTAGTCTGTTGGCGCCACCTCTCTATAGCACTCGCAAGTCTCAATAGAAACGCGTAGCAAATATGTATTTAAAATCGCATATACAATGTTTTCTTTCAAGAAACTCTATTATTGTGTGAAAAAGACAATTCATCACGTTCCGTATCACGTTTACTCGAGACTCCACCCAGTAATTTTATGTAATATATAGGTAGCAATAAATACTTAGGTTTTAAAATGCACCAAAAATATCAAATCCAACTGGTACCTATGGTAACCAAAGATAAGCGCGTTAAGTTTTCCCGCTCTTCATCTCTATATAATATAATAGCAATATATATGTATTGTATAAGTACAGATAAATATAGATGATGATCAAGATTTTAGTAATCACACTTCCTTGCCTATATTATAAATGCAAAAGTATATTTTTTACCTTATCTTTCTTTGACATACAGATTTTTGTATAGTGATTATTCATCATTCATTTATTAACCGACTTCCAAAAAGGAGGAGGTTATCAATTCGTCGGAATCTTTTTTTTCTTTTTTTTTATGTATGTTACAAAGGGTATACTTCCCAGGTGGTCCCATATAAATTTTATCGAAATCGGTCAAGCGATTATCTAGAGAGCCTACAATATTTTAAGGTATGAATATCTAATTTGTAAATATTATGTATTTTACGTATCGAAATAGGTTTATTAGATTTGCTTTGCATCGGCTGGCACCGACTTCGAAAATATCTGATTAGGTAGGTAGGTATCTATTCTAAATGAAAACCTCCATTTAGTTATTTTTTACATTTTATTGCTTGGAAGTCGGTTTTTATCTTTTGTTAAAAAGTTTTTATTTCATCACCATAAACTATAAAGCATTATAACAACGATAACATATTATATTATGTAATGTATGTTATGCATGTTCATATCAAAGATTGAAATTGATATTGAAATTGATAGAAGCTAAACTCAATCACAGTAACCTAAGGGATCAATTAATTGAATAATTTCACGTTGCAAATGAAATGTACTTAAATAATCAAAACAATAGATGATGATGTAAAATAATATCATAAAGTAATGATTACTCGAGTAATAAAGCAGAATCCACGCCAGGAATGCGGTTAGAGTAGATGATGGCTCGTCATTAGGTGGCGACGGTAGTGAGGGACACTGGAAACTAATGAGTGCCCTACCTTGTACCTTCCGTGTGCATTCTGTTATAAAAGCTTAATTGCGATGCCTCAAGTTGTTTTGGCTCCTTTGTGATAACAAATAATTCATAATATAGTTTATTATTGCTTTTACACAGATAAATTTGTAAAATTAATAATCTATACCTACATATAATAAAATTGTAACTAAGCCGAATCTGTACATTAAATATTTTTTGGAAAATCTTTATGAAATAAACATTATTATCGATACAGAGGCCGAATCTATAGTTTTTTGAATTTTTGTCTGTCTGTCTGTTACCGCATCACAGAAAAACCACTGGAGGGATTTTGATGAAGTTTGGTATAGTGATAGCTGGTTATCCGGGTCAACATATAGGATACTTTTTACCGCGGGACAATATCTCACTTCTGAGAAAAAAATACAAAAACTGCAATGTAAGAGTATACTAATATGTAAAACCTAAAAATGTAGTTTTTGGTCATCTGAACGCGGGTGGAGCCGCGGGCAATGCTATTGAGTAATAAATAGAATATAATACATGTTATGCACGTATTATTTATATTGATTTAGCAATCGCTGGATAGTCATATATTTCATGTCACACTTTTTTCAAATTACACATCCATACTAATTTGCTAATTTTAATATTATAAATGTGAAAGTGTGTTTGTTTGTTTGTCCTTTTTTCACGTCCAAGCGCAGTGACGGATTGACGTGATTTTTTGTGTGGAGATAGTTGGAGGAAGGAGAGTGACATAGGATACCTTTTACTGCGGCAGATAATTTCATTTCCACGGGAAATCACGCTATAATACAACCCAAAATTATTTATGATCAGAAACACTTGAAATTTGGTATTAATGCTCTTCATGTTATTGTTAAATAAATACGTGTTTTAGCATTTTTCAAAATTCATCGCAAAATAGGGGATGAAAGATTGTATGAAACCTACTTTTTTAGAGGTTTTTTATAGTTTTAGCGCGAGCGAAGCCGCGGGTTCTGCTAGTTATCTATAAACAGAAATAGAGAATTATTTTAACTCTGCTTAGCTATTTTAATTTTAAGGGCACAATGAAGTGGAAACACGTGTAACGTGCAGTCAAAGTACTGTATTACATACATTGTGTATATTAGCATATGAGATTCATGTTCATATCATTTTGAATATTATTGCACTTTTGCAACTTTTTCAAACATATCCGATTTTTATTCTTTACCACCTAAGCAAATTATTTGGATAAAATAATTGTATTTTTTATTAAATAAATGTTTAATAGCTTTCTAATGTAAAAGTATCAAACGGGCTTATTTCATTATCAGTGTAAATAAAATTTATATTGAGTACAGTGCATTTAACGTAGTTTAAGTAGTTTCACTGTAATGTTAAATATGTTTTTTGATTAGCTGAGTTGGATTACTAATTTCTAAGTTGATATTCCGAGCATGATAAATTCTAACAATATTTTATCATTTCAGATACGCTTTCAAGATGTCACGATCTCATAAAATGTGCCGTTCATGTATCATCAAATTGGCGTAGTGGTAATTAACATGGTTGCCACGATGGCGACTCCCGCGCACAGTCTTTACTTGCATGGCAATGAGCTCAGGCCTCAGCACTCCAGGGAAAACTCAAGAGATTCTGGAATATTCCACACTACGAAAGGCCTTTGGAATGCACCAGGACAGAATAATTGCTTTCTAAACAGTGCTGTACAGGTAAGCACTAAGCATGTTATATATTGTTTAATTTCAATTTTCGTTTTCATCTCAACGGAATTCCCTTCCATAGGTGAATATATTTATATTCCACCAAGAAGTATGTACACATTGACACTGTAATCGTAGAGTTCTGAGAAATCGCCAAGGCACAAAGTGCGAGCGTACACTACACTTTATGCATGTTTGTGTTGATTTGTTTGTACGTCGATAATGGGTTTTTGATTTCGGTAGAGACAGAAAGTACAGTATTCTCACATATCTACCTACTTAGTTTAGAGGTACAGACCTAACCTAATCTACATAGTCCGTTAATTTAAGTTTTCGTGCTACCCTTCGCTATTCAGAATATTTGTGTAGTACTTTTCACATCTTTTAAGGAATGCTAGGCAATTTCTTTTAATTACCTACATATAACTATAAGAGTTTAGTCAAAGACATGTGTAGACAAAGTGCTTTGGTGACATTTATATCTATAGGTATAACGGTGAGTGCTCATTTACACCATATCTTCTATTTTTATTATAACTTCAATAGCAAATGTATTTACATAGAGTTAGAGTTCAATTTTCTTAAATATGTTAAAAGATAATGTCCGTTTAGGACGTGGTGGGTCGGGCGATGACATGGACTAACCAATATACTGAAACCTGTTTATATTTAAGGCTTGGTGACTTTTAACCTTAAGTCATTTATACAAGAGAAGTCTCTATCGCTTTGTATGTAAATTTTTATCTGTGTGATAGGTATTCAAGATTAGGAATGTTTTATTCTATAATTCATGCTTATAATATATACCTAGTATTTACCGAATTTAAAACCATACATACGTATATGCAATATACATATCGTACATACATACATAGATACATAGCCTATATTAATGGATTTAGTGTATTTTTAAATATCATAGACTCTAATTTTGCTATGCGCATTTTTAACTTAAATTATAGATTACCTAATACGTGTTATTGAATCTGTTTTAAATGACTTTTACTTTCTCAGGGAAATTACATAATTATAAAATAATTTATTGATCGTTAAAACAACTCAGAATAGACTTATTTTATAAATATAAAAGGTATCATTAACAAGGTTCATACGAAATACGAGTATACATTTTGACATTAATAAAAGATCTGACGTCCACGTAGTATGTAGACGTAACAAGCTTTAAAAATGATCGCATTTCTCGACACGCAATATTTGGTACACATGATTGAAATTCCGACGTCGTTGACCGCAGTTGATAAACCGATCCAATTTACATACACGTAATTACTGTACAGAGAGGTAACACAAAAAACTACACGGCTTGGATAATGACGACAGCACTCGAACCGTCCAACATCCATTAAAATACTTGATCTTAGAAAAATGTACTGGAGAAAAGTATAGAGAATTGAGGTAGAAAATTGACCCAGATTTAATTATAAATTTGATTTAAAACTAAAATATTATATGACCAAATTGTGCAAGTTTCGAATAGATTATTTCTTTTAACGCGTTTACATTTCGATATTAATATTGTGCCTTTACATTGCGATATCAATTTGACTACACGTTTGGCTCAGTTTGTAGTGACCCTACTTGCTGCGCCAGCGGTCGCGGGTTCGAGTCCCGCTGGGGTCATCATTCATTTGTGTGATGAGCATGAATGTTTGTACTCCAGTCATGGGTGTTTATATTTATAATATATATGTATTTAAAGTTATATATGTATAATGTATCAACAATCTGGTAACCATAACACAAGCCTTGTAGCTTACCATGGAAGTAGGTGGTGTTGTGTGTTAATGTCCTGACATATTTATTGTGTAGGTACACCAATAGATGCAGAATTCCAGACAATAATAGTTCAAGCATTAGAACAAATTGTTTGTCACACGCTATTTACGCGTGAAATCCTAGTCTGTACTTAAAGATAATAAGGAAAAAGCGTGAATTGTTGGCACGAGCCAGGAATGCAAGAAAAAGTAAATCCTGTTAAAAAATACCTGACGCTTGTGAATTCCAGTATAAAGAGAGAGTGGATTGTATCATGGGTTTTATGCTTATTTTTGTTCACTTGGTATCTTTGAGTAATATATGTATTTTATAGTTTTTCTTCTATTCTAATATATTTTTACATCTCTTCTACTCTGTTATAAAAGTTTACATATTTTTAATTATGAGAATAATGGAGATTTTATACTCTGTAAAGTTACTCTGGTGAGCAAATTCTAGCATTATTTTTATATTATACTGCTTTAACAAATTTTCTGTGGTTTCCCCATTTCAGACGGACTAGTAAAACAAATATGGAGTATACATTATGATCAATTTCTAGTGAAACCATTTATCTATGTTATCTTTCTTATCTTTTAAGCTTATAAAGTCTTCACACTTTATTGTACATCTTGTGAAAGAAAGAGTTCCAGCTATTCAACTATTTTTATCAGTATCCTGTACACACTTTTACTGATAACATTTTAAATGAGATAAGTTTACCATTTGGAACTGTTTGTATTATATTATAAGATGTCATCAGTCTTTATTATCTGTTGCGAAAGAAACGCTATATGAAACACAGTACAGTTAGTAAAATAGAGATATTTAAAACTTAAAAAGCGGCGCCGTACTTTTATAATGTTCTGAAAAAAATAAGCAATGCATCAGAACAACATCAAAGAACATCAGTTTACTGCTGATTCTACTAGCTCGTTACTAGAAACAAAATGAATATATCAAAAGAATTTTGGATATCTGGCTATTCCGATGTGTAATTCGAATTACTAGTACGCTCAGTGTTCACCTATAAAGGTCTGTTATGACTACGTCATGCCCTCATTGCTAACATATAAACAGTTACTATTTAGTATTTATCCTATCTTCTAAATAATTTTGCAACTTACACTCGTTATTTGATTGTAGTAGCCACAATGTATTTCATACAATATAATTACTAGACTTAAAAATATTAATATCTCTATGAAATTTGACACAAATGAGTAAGAAAGAGAAGGTTTTGAAACTAGCCCACGTTACCAAGGCAGTGATCGTGCTCGACATCTCAAAACAAACTCTTTCGACAGGTGCACGTGTGCTTACATAAGTTATTTTACTATCGACTATTCCTCTCACGTTCCCTTTCTGTTTATGTTGGCGCCTTAGCCATCGATGGCAACAAGTTTTCTTAACATCTAGAATACGCGTTACTTTCAAAAACAATGCTACAAGTTAAGTAGCAATACTGTGATAACTACCACTATTAATAATTTCATTAACACCCTATCTCTATATAAATCTATCTATATATATAAATACGCAAAAAAAAACAGTTCAGTACCTTTTTTTCTCTTTTGGTCAACCGTGTTTTTAGTTAGTTTTGTTTACTTTAGTTTAATAGCTTTTGACAAGCTTTTTTGAACTTGTTAGTTTTTGCCTAAAACATATTACCTATATGAATAGAATTTATCTATTTACATATATTATTATAAGTTTTTTTATTATTAATTTAATCATTTATTTCAGGCAATATTTACAATAAAGATCTCAAATATGTAAACAAAGGTCCTTTATATTTATATGTTTCTAGGCAAACACTAGTAAAACAAATAAGTTAAATACTCTTTCTATAAAATACATTTTGTGAGCTAACTCACAGACTATTCATAAATATGACAGAACATGTCAAGTGTTTGTAATAAGCTCAAATGTTTACGAGCACGTATACGTAGGTATATTAATTATGTGGGAACAAAAATCGTGTAATGAAAGTTTAATTGTTTATACAGTAATTCTATTAATAATAATAATAATTAAATAAATATTATTGCTATACTTATTTAAATTAAATATATTTAATATATATTTGCTATATTTAACTTTATTGAATTTTTAATATGGTTAGAAATAAAAATCAACAAATATTGTAATATAGTTTGATGCCATTTTTGAATTTTTGAAATCATTTTTGTAAAATAGTGGGTAGGCACTGCCAGTAACAAGTGTATAACGACTTTGAAGACGTCTATAACCTTAGTCTCTCCCGTGACCATGATTGCTGTAAAGAACTCAAAACGTCGGGAACCAAAAATCAAAATAAATCTGCGATATAATCCGAAAAGATAGTTTTATTTAAAATATTCTACGTTAAAATGTTAAAGTATTATAATAATAAGCAAACGCCCAAAAATTTTTGGTAGGATTTGAAAAGTTTTAATAATTTAATTTGAAATTCATCATGTTGCATTAAATCAGCTTTAAAGTAATAGAACTATTACTAATTATTATTTCTTCTCGGGGTTCTATAACTTCTTCTCGGGGTATCTTGCTAGTTGCTCACAGAATTTAAATTCCAAATAATACAATAGCAAGTTCGTTAATAATAGCTAAAATATTTTAATAGTGTTAATGTCTACTTGAACTCCTTGAGCAAGACTCAATATAGAATCAATAGAGTCCATTTTTTTTACTTCTGTTTAACACAAGTCTCTTTGCTCGGTACCAAAGCCTAACGTAAGTAACGATATAGCTGTGTTAAAAATTTATTAAAGGTTCTACATGCACCCACCCAGTGACCGGATTCCTTTGCCGAAAACGCAAAAAGTGCCATATTTACCTCACTTGAGAAATTTGGTACACATTTTGGAATGTTGAATAAAATAATATTTTAAGTATTTATGTTGACTTGTAAATTTGATATATTTGACCCGCTTCTGTTTGCTGACACATTTAGAAGAACTCTGGTCAATAATTGACAATGTATATAAGTAAAGTATCTATATATGTATGTGTAATATGTTTTCCTTTCCAAAAATTATAAGATGAAGACGAACGGGTTGTTAATGTCACCTGATTATTTTGTTTTGTCATAGTAAAGTTTATTTTTAATATTGTAAATATAAAAACGTTCCTTCTGTTACACCTGGTTTTTTAACATCTGCCCTGGAAGTTACAATATTTCACTGCAGTACAATTACTAGTAGGTAATCGTATAAAGTTTTACTTAAATGTCA